TAAAATAAATAACCAGAGAAACGTCTCTGCTGTGGTCTCCGTGGTTCTGAGTCCTGCTGACAGCAGACGTCTCTGGGTTCTGTCTCCTCCTTCATGTTCTGGTTCCACAGAGCTGCTGGACTTGATGTTGCAGAGGAACATGAACCTCGGTGAAGGAACATGAGACAGAAAACATCCAGAAACTGCACAGAGTTTGGAGGTTAAATCCAAACTTCTTTTTTAAACGTGTTTTAAAAGCCTTTTATAAATGTTGATTTGATTTAGTCATGGATGTGTCTGGTGTCTATTTGCGGTTTAAGGCGGTTTAAGGCGGTTTAAGGCGGTTTAAGGCGGTTTAAGGCGGTTTCATTTGGCGCTCTGGGCTCATGATGGCGTCACTTTGACGGTAAATCAACTCACGTAGTCGATGGCGTTGACGTCGACGCCGCTGTGCAGCAGCGCCTCCATCAGGGCGGCGTTCCGTCGCTGTCGCTGCAGCTGCAACACAAACACACACGTCTGAGACACGCAACTCTACCGCGTCAACGACATCACCCCCACGCAGGCTGCTGATTGGCCGAGCGAGTCCATACCATGATGAAGTAACCGAGCAGCAGGACGGGCATCAGGATGCAGATCATCAGGTAGTCGAGCAGCGAGAACGTTCTCCTGGAGGCGTAGTGGAGACACGTCCTCTGTTTCTGGAGGACAGACAGACAGACAGAATGAGATCTCATTGGTCATCAGCAGCACGATGACATCATCAGGAGGCAGCACCTTATTGGTCAGGTGGACGTCGGCCTTGTTGTCCAGCAGGTATTTGACGGTGGCCAGGTTGCCATGGCGACAGGCAGCGATGAGGGGCGTGTCCCCGCTGTGCTGCTCCTGGACGTTCAGGTGAGACGGGTCGGCCGTCAGCAGGTGGTACAGCTGCTGGACGTCTGAGTCGAACGCTGCCTGACAGGACGGCTGAAACAAACCAGCAAAACCAGCAAAACCAGTTTGTTATCAGATGAGCTCCAGTCCCTGTTTGATCGTGGTTCTGCTGCCTGACAACAAGACAAAGACCCGACCTGACCAGAGGAAGGTCTCACGGAGGTTAAGGTTTCATAAAGCAGAGAGTCGGAGCTGAGAATGAGGTTCCCCTGAGTGTCCTCTAACCTCAACCAGTGGTCCCAGTGGTCCCAGTGACCCACTGGGTGTCCAGCTCCTGCATCAACACTCTCGTCTTCACTCGAACAGCAGAACGTTTGGTGAGTTTTGTTCGTGTTCAGACGTTTCAGAGTTGATCAGAAGCAGCTGTCGAAGGTAAGTGGACCTGGACGCTCATTCTGATTGGTTACCTGGGGCGGTGAGGGGGCGGGGCTATACAGAGCTGCATTGCTATTGGTTAGTAGCTGTGAAGGGCTTGTAACGCTGGAGGCTGAAGACCTGCTGAAGAACAGAAGCAAACATCTCCACAGCTCTGAGGTTACAAACCAAAGCCAGTGAAGCGTCTCCGTCTGGCTTCGACCCGCTGAGCTCAGATGTTGGCAGATGTTCTCGCCACGTTCTGTGCTCATAGTTTCCAGCTGCAGCTGCTTCTGGCTGCTGATCAGAGAAAAGCTCACAGATGGTTCTGATGAACCGGAGCAGCTTCACCGTCCTGCTGCTGAACAGTACATTCATGAGACCCGTTCCCGCCGTCTGTCCTCACCTTTCGTTTCCTTCATCACCAGACTAACGAGCAACACCTCTGGACAGGTAGAGCTCACCAGTAACTCATGATCACCTGTAATCACTCATAATCATTATGAATCATTGATCATCGGTGGCTATCGCTCCTCTGGCTTCCTCTGAACCTCCACCGGATCCAGAACCCGTCTTGGTTCTGCCGCAGCTGGTTCTGAAGCAGCAGTTTTCTGGCTGAAGCTGCTTCACTGATCAAACCTGAGATCCAGTCTGAAGGCTGCAGCTGTTCAGATCCACCTGTTGGTTTGTTTGTTTGTTTGTTGTTTGTCTGTCTCAGGTGACTTTATGACCTTTCAGAATAAAGGATTAAAAATCACTTGGTTTCGATCAGAAAGTAGAAAAGTGAGATCTGCTCTTACCTCCGAGTAAACCTGCCCCATGACGGTGTGAGCTCACCTGGACACGTCAAGGCGCCCGCACGTCAACAGGAAGCCGTCCTGGCCTGCACTTCAAAGTAAAGGTCTCTGCTTTTTCTTTTTTTAACAAATGAATAGTTTGAAACGAATTCATTTCTGAATACGTTTTACTTCATCATTAGTAGGTAGAAACCGTAAATATACCTTTTATAAATGAAATAATAGTTTGGATGTTTTGGACAAAGTGAGAATGTTGTTGACTTTATGACGGTTTAGTTTTTCCTGTTAAAACTGCTGATGCTTGATGATCCATCAGACCTGCACTCATTCATAAATACACATAAATACACATAAATACACATAAATATACACAAATACAACCAACAAGAAACTACTTGAACAAATAAAAACCAACAGAATTAAATAAATAACACAAACATATACAGAAATACTGTCTGAAGTGAGCAAGGACTCTGATTTTTACACAACAAACCAATTTAAAGCTCCTCCGGCTTCATGTCTTCTTGGATTATATGAAACTATGTTTTACTGTGACGGGAGGCTTTTATTTTGTAGGCTCCAGTGTTTTCTGGCTGAGTCGTGAAGAATCAGGTTCTCTTCTGGTGTTTCTCTGGTTCTCTTGTGTTCTGCTTGGACTTGCTGCCGGTTTGACTGTTTGTGTGACGGCAGCAGCCTGAAGCCAAACGAGACGAGACACATCCAGTGAGTCACGACGAAGGCAAACACCCGGAACCTGTTGGACCAGGACGTCACACAGCTTATTGATCACAGAGTCGACTTGATCAGTTTCTGTCTCTTCAGCTTCTGTTCAACCGTCCTGAGCTTCACTGCATTCGCCTGTGAGCAGCTGGAGAAGATCCAGCAGGTGGAGACAAACCTGAAGAAACACAAGAAAAAGGAACTTCTGGTTTCAGCTCAGACAGCAGCAGTTTCACCTCTGGACCAGCAGAACCAGAACCAGAACCAGAACCACAGAGATCCAGCTGAACTCTAAAAAACACGCAATCATCAGGAACACAGACGAAATTCACAAACGCCACAAAATAAACACAAAGTTCAAAAAATGGGTTAAAAAATAAAAAGATTCCATAAAATACAAAATGTGAACATCCTAAAAAATAAATAAATTAAATGATTAAATATAAACAAAATAATTACATGTTTAAGTACATAAA